ACCTCGGCTCAGAAATGGAGCTTCTTTTGTGAATTCCAAGTGCGTGCTGTGGCTTTAGCCCAAAGCATCGTGATGGAGCCGAATGGCGAGGCCGATGGATTGCGTCGGCAGCTAGCTGAGCAGGAGAAGTCTCTCCAAGAGACGCTAGAGGCGCTTACTGATGCCCAAACGGCCAACACCAAATACCAGGCCGAGGTGGATCGCCGAGGTCGAACAGTTGATGACCTGGCTCTAAAGGTTCAACGTCTTGAACTTGCTTTGAAAAGCAAGACAGAGAAGGTTGCTGTTTTGAGCAAGGAGCTAGAGGCCGAGAGGGTTGCTTTCGGGGCTTACAAGGAGAAAGCGCGCAACAAGATCTTAACTCAACATCAGGCTGGCTTTGCTCAGGCCGCCCGACAAGCATGCTTCTTCAGCGACTTCCCCCCTAAATTTCACCTCGACATGACCAAGGACTTCTTCCAGGGGAAGTTGGTGGACATGACTTCTATCCCTCCTGACCAACAAGCCGATGAGGAGGCCCCGGCATGGCCAGCTGGGCCGAATGAGGAGGTGACGGCGTACGAGGAGGGTGCGCCGGAGGATGGTCCGGTTCAGGGGGAATCGGAGGTTAGGTCTTAAGCTTTTTTCTTGGTTTTTGTAATGTTGGGCCGATAGTGCCCCTTCTTTAATGTATCTTTTGCAAGGCCGGTAGTGCCTTATTGAATGAATTTTACTTTCGTTGTCGTTGCATATTGGTGTAAATTTTTCTTTAGATGATAACAACTCGATTGATGTAAGCCGCCTCCTTATTCGAGAAAGATTTCGGGAGGGAAAACTATCTAAAGCCGCATCCTTGGCCGAGAGACATCTCGGGAGGGAAGACTTGTAAAATCAGTGAAAGTCACATCCTTGGCCGAGAGACATCTCGGGAGGGAAGACTTGTAAAATTTTAACATAAGGACGCAATAATGTTGACAAGCTTGAATACTGAGAATGCTTTTTCATTAATGGACTGATGCCTCGTTAAAAACCTTGCCGACCAAAAACCCCTTTTCACAATTTTATAAGAGGAAAAAAGATCGGTTCTAGGAAAAAAGTGCATCATTTTACACGTAGTTGAAATGTAAATACAAGTTTAGCTGTAATATGTCTTCAGATGAGTGGAGTTCCAAGTTCTTGGTATGATCTTGCCCGACAGTTCTTCTAACTTGTAAGCCCCATTGTGGAGGGCATGTCGTATCCGGAATGAGCCATCCCAATTGGCCGCCAGCTTTCCTTCAGAAGAGTTGCGCCTTGCCGACCCGGTTGCTCCCCACACGAGATCACCCTCATGAAATGTCCTCGGCTTTAGATTGAAATTAAAGCGTCGGGTCATGCGTTGTTTACATGCCTCGGCCACTATCTGCGCGTTCGTTCGTATTTCATCCAGAACATCCAATTCAGCTTGGAGTGAGTCGTCATTAGACTCCTCATGAAAGTGTTGTCGCCTGAAGGACGGTACCCCTACTTCAACTAGGATCATCGCATCCGCGCCGTATGTTAGGCGAAAAGGCGTCTCCTTGGTGGTTGATTGGGGGGTGCATCGATATGCCCAAAGGACTTCTGGTAGCTCTTCGGCCCATGCTCCTTTTGCCGAACCGAGTCTCTTCTTGAGCTCAGTGAGTATAACCTTGTTGGCTGCTTCGGCCTGCCCGTTTGACTGAGGATGCTCCACTGATGTGAATCGGTGTCGAATGCCAAGGTTTTCAAGGAAAATGTTGAATTTCTTATCAGTGAATTGAAGACCATTGTCCGACACAATGGCATACGGGATGCTGAAGCGGGTAACCAGATTTTTCCAAACAAACTTCTGAACGTTGTCTGTGGAGATGCAGGCGAGCGGTTCGGCTTCTATCCACTTTGTAAAGTAATCTACTGCGACGAGAAGGAATTTAACCTGACCTTTTGCAATAGGGAACAGACCGAGCACGTCTATCCCCCACAAAGCAAACGGCCACGGGGAGCTGATACTGTGCAACTCGGTAGCCGAAGCGTGGATGAGGTTTCCATGCTTTTGACATTGAACACATTTTTTCACAAACTCAGCACAATCTCCTTTCAAAGTTGGCCAATAGTATCCGGCACGCAGGACCTTGGCTGCCAAGGTTTGCCCCCCGGAATGAGAACCACAAATACCTTCATGGACTTCCCGCATAACATAATCGGCTTGTAGGTTGTCGACGCATTTGAGCAACGGGGTGGAGAATCCTCGCCTGTTAGCTCGTCGGCACTATGGAGTACCGAGCCGCTTGTGTTCGTATCTTTTTGGCTTCTATCGGATCAGTTGGTAATTCCCCTCGGACAATAAAGCTCCGGATGGCCGTCATCCAGGTCAATGTCTGAGTGTCAGTTACTATGCACTCCAGGTGAATGGTTGTGCGCAATGGTCCTGGTTTCCGGCTGCTGGCGAGCCGAGCTAACTAATCGGCTCGTTCATTATTGCTTCGTTGGACGTGTCGTATCTGAACCTCAGTGAAGTCGTCCTTGAGTTTTTGGAAGAGGTGGTAGTATTGCAACAGATTGGAGTCTTTGAACTGAAAGGTATCATTGACCTGTTCGGCCCCGATTTTCGAGTCGGTCCAGCATCTGACTTTTTTCACGCCCATCTCGGTTGCTAACCGCATCCCGGCCAGCAAGGCTTCATATTACGCTTGGTTGTTAGATGCTCGGAAGCCGAAGCAGAGGGATTGTTCTATGGTGATGCCTGAGGGACTAGCCAGAATTATACCTGCCCCACTTCCTTGGGCATTAGAGGACCCACCGACATGCATGGCCCATGGTTCGTCTCCAAACCGCCCTGGAGGAGTGAGCTCGTTGACAAAGTCGGCTAAATGCTGTGACTTGATGGGGCCTCTTGGCTCGAAAGATACGTCAAACTCTGTAAGCTCGACCGACCATGCCATCATCCGGCCGGCAATCTCTGAAAACATTGAAAGTATTGTTGTATGACTTTTAAGAAAAACTTAGGTATTATTTAGAAGAGTTTATGAACAACTTATTTATAATTATCTTATTCTATAAGTATTTATGGAAAAAATTTATAAAATTTTTATGAGTAGTCCATTAGATGTTTTGAGTTTATTTTAATAAATTGTTCAGTATAACTTATTACTTAGTTTATACGATAACTTAATTAAAAATACCTTTACTCAAATCATGTCACTCACTAAAATAGCTTTGTTACCTGAGATCATGATTAGGATTACGTGGATTGTCTGCTAGCATCATGTTTTCATCAGAAGCAAGTTCAGCAAATTTCCCAATCATTTCATTTAAAATTTCTACTGATTGAGTGTATGGAGCTTATGCTATTCCTTTTGGATGATACTTCTGGATATGATATGGCTGCATGGACACAGGCTAAATGGAATTATTAGTGGAGATGATGTCAGGAGAAATCAAATCTGATAGCTTGTTGATGGAAAAACTTAGGTATTATTTAGAAGAGTTTATGAACAACTTATTTATAATTATCTTATTCTATAAGTATTTATGGAAAAAATTTATAAAATTTTTATGAGTAGTCCATTAGATGTTTTGAGTTTATTTTAATAAATTGTTCAGTATAACTTATTACTTAGTTTATACGATAACTTAATTAAAAATACCTTTACTCAAATCATGTCACTCACTAAAATAGCTTTATTTTTATTTTTATTAAAAATCAATTTTATATTCTCTTTTCATTATTCCCTTCAAGATTTCCATTACTCTTCCAAAAGTTTACATTCCTCTTTATATTTTTTCCCACCATTTTTTCTCTCCCCCTTCCCCAAATCTACATTTTCTTAGAATAAAAAGTCTTCATAAATTTCTTTTAGAAAATAGCACACTTTGAAATAATTTTGTTACTAATATTTATATAATAAATTTTTTTAATCATAATTTTATAGAATATATAAAACTGATTTTTAATTTTAGAGTTTATGATTCTTAATTTTCTTTATGATTATATATATAATTGATTTATCATATTTTATTATTTATTTTTATAAATAAAAATTTGGTGAATGTGACTAGCTTATTATTTTAATATATAATATTATTTTTAAGAATTATTAATTACTTTATCAAGATTTAAATTATAATTTTTAATTTTTTAAAATGAAACAACATCTTATAGATATTTAAATAATGTTAAAAGTTTTATTTGATTGCTATCTTTGCAATCACATTTTCTTATTTATCCATCTTATATCTTATTTCTCTAAAATCAAATAAAAACATTGAAAGTATTGTTGTATGACTTTTAAGAAAAACTTAGGTATTATTTAGAAGAGTTTATGAACAACTTATTTATAATTATCTTATTCTATAAGTATTTATGGAAAAAATTTATAAAATTTTTATGAGTAGTCCATTAGATGTTTTGAGTTTATTTTAATAAATTGTTCAGTATAACTTATTACTTAGTTTATACGATAACTTAATTAAAAATACCTTTACTCAAATCATGTCACTCACTAAAATAGCTTTATTTTTATTTTTATTAAAAATCAATTTTATATTCTCTTTTCATTATTCCCTTCAAGATTTCCATTACTCTTCCAAAAGTTTACATTCCTCTTTATATTTTTTCCCACCATTTTTTCTCTCCCCCTTCCCCAAATCTACATTAGTCGAGGTCCATGGTCGATTGCTGTGACACCAAGTGAACGCCTCTCGGCTCCTTAGGCGCTTCGTCCTTCACTCTTGGTAATCGCAAGCTGGCAAAGTAGCACTCTCGCGCAATCTTCTGATCAGCATGGACCGTGATGACTCGTCCTGACTCGTCTGGGAACTTCATGGCTAAATGAGGGGGGGATACAACCGCCCCCAGCCGACGCCCCAAGCCGATTCAGGGACGGCCGGCCGAGTAGAATATTATAAGATGTGCTGACATGAACTACCACATATTTGACCGAGATGTCACGATATTCGGCTCCTTCAAACCCAAACCGGGTTGACAACTTGATATATCCTTTTGTCTTGACTCGTTTGCCTCAGAACCCAACCAGAGGTTCATCATAAGGAATTAGCTCGGATTCTGGAATACCCAACTGCTTGAACGTGTTCCAATACAGGATGTCGGCTGAACTTCCTTGATCAACCAATGTTTTACGTACAATACAATTGTGAATTTCAACACTGATTACCATCGGATCATCTTGGTCCGGGTCGATGCCTTTGAAGTCGGCCTCGGTGAAAGTGATAGTAGGAAGGCGGCGATGAGCTGTTTCTACTGCATGCACGTGTCGAACGGCTCGCAGGTGTCTTCGTTGGGCCGATGAGGATGAGCCCCCGCCAGCGAATCCACCGGCTATGGTATTGATGACCCGCCTAGGTTGCGTCGAAGGCTCTTCCTCTCGCCTATCTCTCGACCTACTACGTTCCCTGTATGAGTGCGTTCCCGTTCTCCTCTACTTGGGCTGATCATGCCGCCGAGACCGGTCGGCGTGTCGGGATGAGGTCGGACGGTCTATGAAGCCTTGCAGTTTCCCCTACTTGATTAAGTCTTCAATTTTGTCTTTCAAAGCCGCGCATTCCTCTATGGAATGCCCCTGATTACGGTGGTACCTGCAAGACTTTGTTGTATCAGCCCTGGGAGGGGTCAAAGCTCGTTCTAGGACTGCTAGCAGCTCTGAGGCAAGTGCTTGCTCTAGGACGGCCGATCTGCTTGTATTAAGTGGCGTATATTGTGAGTATCTCGGCCCGCGAGGAGGCTTCTCGCGAGGAATCAGCTCTTTCGGACGACTCTGAAAATTAGTCTCGGCCGGCTTGTCAAGTTTTGCCGACACCTCCGCCCGGGCTTGGTTCCAGAACTCAGCCAATTCTTCCATCTGCATGTATTTGTCAGCTCGCCGACGCAAATCATCCATGTCAGTAGGGGGTTTCTTACAAATGTTGTTGGATAGATATTAGTACTATAATGAACACATTTTTTTCTTATCTCTTTGTTTTGTGAACAACTTTTTTGCAACACTTACTTTTTCTTATTTTCACGATTTTTTTCAGAAATGAAAAAAAAAGGAGCTTTACCGTACAAGAAACAAATTATAGTAGTAGTAAGAAGAAAAATTTATGGAAGTTATATTACCTAGCTTTAGAAACAAAGCTCTAGTGACCAAATTATATGAACCCATCATTATTTAATAAAGATCTTATAAATTATATTTAAGATAATTTTAATTAATTAATAGTACTAATTGTATAACAATTACTAGAGACGCTAAAAATTACAATAATATGAACAGTGTTGAGTACATTAGTACAATCGTTATAATTTTTATGAATAAAAAATAAATTTAGTGCATAAAATATATATTATTTAAAAAATAGTAAAATAGAAAAAATTTATTTACCAATAAAAACTTTGTTTTGAATTTAATTAGAATACGCAAACGTTATAAAGGTTTTTCATGTTGTTACTTAATTATAAATTTCTTATATTTATCGGTGGTAAGATTTTTTATTTTTTAATAACTACTTAAAAAATTTATATAAAACAATTTCTAATTGATTATCAGTTTAAAAATATTACATAAAAATTGAACTAATTTTTTCAAATCAAATATATTTTTTATTTTTATTTTAAGCAAAAAGTATTAGACAAACAAATGGTGAAATGAGGTAAGACGCAGTTGGGATTGGACGGTTTATGGTGAAGAGGAGGATTTTGTCGCACATGGCCAAATTGAACATTGCATCCTTTACTGCTGCACACAAAACCAAACCCGCATGAATGATGAAATTGAGAAGGGTTCTTCGTTGAATTTGGTAGGTTTTCACTCTCAAATCTCCAACTTTTACAATACAATTTCACGGGATAATAGTTGTTTCTGTTTAATAAATTTAAATTTAATTATTTTGGTTGCGTGTCAAATATGATCATGTGGCTTTGCAGTTTCTGCGATAATTTCCTTTCGTTGTACTATTCATCGTCAACAAATATCAATATATACGAGGGCGGTGACGTGTTGTCGTCGCTTCCAGATCCTTCTTTTAATTCTCTGAATTTTCTTATTTGCCTAACAATCTCTTTCGAGTCTCACCTACCACAACCTGAGTTATGCTTTAGCTGTTCATAAAACTCTCTCCAGAAAAATTATTGTTGTATCCGCTGCTGTGTATCTTCTTTCATTATTCTTTTGCCAAGGTGATGGTTTTCTCTCTGTTTTTTTATTTAATTTTATTTCTTTTCCATAGTTTTTCCTCTTAGTGATTGGTCCTGGGGATTTAGATTTGTTTAGGTTAGTGTTTGGGTCTTCCGACGTGTTTTTTACCCTGTGGTGTTTGGTGTCGTTGCATATCTATCTGGATATTAGAAGCATGCTTCATACTCTTTTTAACGGTGAACGAAAGGAAAAAATATTACCTTTTCAGCTTTCTCGTTTGTGGGTTTTGTTCAATTGTTCGTTGCCCTCGATTGCTTGAATAAGGAAAGAAAATACCAAGTGTTGATGTGGGTTTACAGTGCAGAAAAATAAATGTCCTTTTTTTCCCATCAGAAACGGCGAGATAGATCGTTTGTGGATGAATTCATTGTGCAACCTTGACAACTGCGATTCTCTAATTTTTTTAATATTTTTCTTTTTTTGTGTTTTGGGCTTTTGGTTTTAAACTGCTGGATTGATGTTTCAGGAGTCAAGGAATTTAAAGAGAACATTATGGAGGAATCAAATGCAGCAAGGTATTGGTGTCATATGTGCTCTCAAATGGTCAATCCTATCATGGATGTGGAAATCAAATGCCCCTTTTGCCAAAGTGGATTTGTTGAAGAAATGAGAAACGCCACCAGTCGCAGCGACATTCACAATATGCCAGAAGCTGATTTTGAATCTGATCGGGCTCTCTCCCTTTGGGCACCCATCTTGCTAGGCATGATGGGCAATCCACGTCATCCTCAAAGACTGAGGCAAATAGAGAATGATGATTTTGATAATGGTAATCGCGATGATGTTGATGGTGTAGCAGACCATGGTGGAGAAACTGCTTATGATCAAGAGCTTGAGTCCATCCTTCGCAGAAGGAGAAACTCAGCTACCATTCTACAATTGCTCCAAGGTATAAGAGCTGGACTGGCATCTGAATCATATGAGAATTCGGACAGCGATAACCATAACAGAGAAAGAGAGCGTGTAATCTTGATCAATCCTTTAAATCAGACTATTATTGTCCGAAAAACTTTGTTTTGAATTTAATTAGAATACGCAAACGTTATAAAGGTTTTTCATGTTGTTACTTAATTATAAATTTCTTATATTTATCGGTGGTAAGATTTTTTATTTTTTAATTGCCGAGCCGATGCTAGCGTCAGAATTTTAGGTATGGTTCAGTTCACATGGGTGTCTGACAGAACGACACGTGTTAGTCCACGTGACCGATAAGGTCCTCCCGGTACAATATTTATTTTAAATTTTATCTTATAATAATTAATATTAATTTTTTGAATAGATAATACTGTAACAAATAAACAAATTTACTTTAAAAATTAGTTTATATCATTGAATGCTTTATAAATTGATAATATATCTAAATTCAACCCATAACAAATTTATCTAAACTCAACCCAACCCAACCCACTTACACTCCCACCCAAAGTAAATATATCTAAATTTACTTAATTTAATAATTCATTAATATCAAATTTTAACAATTTAATTATTAAATTAAAAATTCTTAATATATAAATTTAATATACAAATTTATAATTAAAAAATAAAAATTATTTCATACTTTATTTATTAATTCAAATCAACATATAAAATATTTTCATTTATAATTCTTATCATATAAAATCACCGTATAGGTTAAAATTTAATATAAAACAAATTTTTAATAAAAAAAATCTAAATAAACTTGTAAGTAAATCACCCCTATATATATATTCAAAATAACCTATAATAACGAAGAAAATATAAATAAATATGGCACAGTATTTGTTTGGTTGCGTAACGTGAGAAAAAAAATTATAAGTATTGCCCGCTGTCATGTTCTTCGTATTTGGGCAAAGCAAGATTAGGCAGGTAGACTCTAATCCCCTAATCATATTCATGTTAATTATCTGTGGAACAGCAATAATTTGACGACCCAAAACTTGCCATTAGCCGGATTTTAAGACAACAAAGGCAAAAAAAACAAATAGAAAATACTAACAAAGTCCACATCAATATCAAAATAAAACTGGATGAAAAATAGTAAATGAATTTCAAAATCCAACTAGGGCTAGACTTACCTACGATGTTTAATTCAAGCAACAAACATCTCTGATATATGAAACCACAAATTAAAACCAACTCCATCGTATCAGTTCAGTCCACAATAAACAGAAGTAACTTGCCCAAAATCCAGCATCTAAAAGTCAAAGGAAAATCTTTTCCCATTCTCACTGACTGGGGGACCTACCACGGGTTGGTTCCCTTACATCACGGTTCGGACTTGGACTTCTGCTCCGGCCTGGGACCTTTGCCGGACTCCGACTTCGGCTTCTTGAGCCCCCATTATAAGGTGGAGATCGAGAATATGACCTCTCTCTACTTTGTTGCGAATAAGATCTTTCTCGGCTGTACCTTCTATCCTCTGGGGTGACAGACCTACAGAGCAGGCAATGTATCAAAAAGTGTAAAATTACCTTACATCCATTGGCCCTTACCACCCACCAGATTAGCTGTTTACAGGGCTAATCAACAAAACCCCACTCAATTAAATCCAGTGTTTTTGGCATTATCTAATCACATGCATAGCCATAGTCCATGTCACAGAGTCTCAAATATATGAGATAACATACTACACTGACCTAAATACAACATTTAACAACACCTGCTCTTTAACAACATGCATTAAAAATAAAGAGTGATTTATTATTACTGGTCACATACCTTGAATATTCCCTTCGTTTAGGAGGAGGGGAATAATAATCACGACTGCGAGAACGAGATCTATGACGTGGTGGTGGAGATCGAGAGTAGCGGGGAGGAGACCTCCTTCTATCATAAAATCGACCCCTATTTAGAGATATTGAAAATAGACAATCAGAATTCCAGCCGACCTTAGCTACAATAAAAAGAAACTTAAGTTGGCAAAACAAAAAACAAAGCTTAATCATTACTTTCAAAGGAAACAAGGGCATTTTAGGACCAGGTAAATTAGAGCAGGCATATGTTTGGTTGGGATTAATTTTAGGGAGACAATCGTTTATTTTTTCATAATATCTTGAAGGAAAACAGCTAGAATGCTAAACAATAAAAGGAGCAGCAGTTCAAAGAATATCTGCAATACTTTCCAAACAGCAAATTTCAAGTGGGCATTTCATTTATATGAACCTTTGCAGTCATTTTTGGCCACATTAGGATATGTTCATGAAATGTTATCCCAAATAACAAGATTATGATTATGATCATGTGCAAATATATGAAAAGTGAATGCGCCCAACTCTGAAAGAGTGAAAGTAAAAGCAATAATTAGTAAATGATAGTACCTCCTCTCTCTTGACCTCATCTCAGTTGGCTTCTTCCTATTCTCCTCAGCAAAGACAACGGTGAGTTCACGACCAAGAAGAATTTGACCATCCATATGATATTTAGCATCAGCAGCATCGGCGGGATCGACGTATTGAACAAAACCAAAGCCACGGGGTTCCCTGCAAAGAGAAGAAAAGTGAAAAGGCAGAGTGAGAAGAGAGAAGAGCAGGGTGAAATAGTCAGGCAATTGGTAATGGGAAGGTGCGCAGTTTAGGTGGAAATAGGCCCCAATGATATGGATAATAAAGCAAGCAAGCACTAGGCTGCTGACCTTTGTGTAAGTTTAAAGATGAGTGGAAAATCTTCAAGACTTGGAACTCTTCATAATGTAATGAAAGTAGTAGCTTGAAATCTTCACTAGGAATAAGATCTTCTACTTACTTGATTGATGTCTTCAAAACTCAAAATCACCTAGGAAACTGGCTATTACAATGGTAGCAGTCTCTAACGGTTTAAAAAGATGACAGTGGATGCAGAGATTGGGAAGAGGGGAGGAGAGAAGGGGAGTGACTCACCCAGTGTAGTAATCCTTAGGCAGGTAAATGTCTTTGAGAGGACCAAATTGACCAAAAGGTCTGCGAAGATCCTCGGGCCTGGAAGAGAAATTGGAATAGGTTAGAAATGGGAATGAATAAAGAAAAGGTAAAAAGAAAGGGAAAGGAGACGCGCCTACAGTCATGGCGAAGGTTACGAACAAGAAGGCTGGTAGGGAGATCTTGCTGTCTGGGACGAGGAGGGTAGCGGCCCCTAGGGCTGGGGCTCCTTCCTCCTCCTCTTCTGCTATATCGAGGGGGCGGAGGCGATGGACTGTAACTCCTTCCTCTCATTTCTCTTCTCTTCTGCAATCAATAACAATCACAGATCCCTCTCTCAATTTCTATTCTCTTCCAACACCAATTTTACCTTTCCCTTCTTTAACCTAATCGCACCTCTGCTCCGCCGCCCCGCCTCATATGCATCTAGGGTTATCCTCCGGCCCAACTTTTTTGGCCCACTTCACCTATCCAACTCTCTTTTTTAAACTCCCCCTATGTTTCTCCTTCACTTTATTCTTTTTACAACATTTTTTTTTATCTCATTTATTGTGATAAAAAAAAATTCTCTCATATTTATATCCTTCACTTGTACATATTTTTTGTTTTTAAATATTTTTTTATTATTTAATAATACTCTTCTTAAAATATTTCTCTTTTAATACATGACCTTTCACTTATACAATTACATTATTTTTTATATTAATAACAAAGATAATTTTAAAACATTTTATAAATTAATAAATTTAATATAAATAACTAATTTTTTAATATATATATATATATAATCATTTTTTCTTATAATAAAAAAATTAAGAAAATATGGAAAGATGGGACAAATATTTATAAACACAAAAATCAACCCGTAGATACACATACAATTATTTGACTCGATTTTTTAGCATAATCATTTTCATAAACTCATTCTTTTACTTTACTTTTGAATATAGTTATCTCTATTTTTAAGCATAGTCAATAATGTAATTCTTAGGGTGTAAGTAATTTCTAATAAAAAATACACATTTCCACGATTTTTTTTCTTATCAAATAACTTGTGATTATTTTTATTTTGTTTCTTTCAATTTTTTTTCTTCTAAAATACATCAACTCATATATATTAAACATGAATCTCCTTATATAAAATTATTTTTAGAGTTTTTTTTTTAAAAAAAAATTTCATGAACTAATATTTTAGATTGTTCATTACACATGCTAATAATTATTATATATAACTTAAATTTATAACAAATCATATATATATATATATATAAATGTTATATTTATTAAATATATAAATTATATTTAAAATTTTGTATAAATAGATAATTTTTAACCATATCAATTATATTTTAAAATTTTTAATAAATAATTTATATCATAGTATTATATTATCGTTATTTATTAGTAATTTATTTTAAAAATATTGAAATTTAATTCATAAAATATTTGTGATAAATTAAAACCACATAAGATAAGAAGTTAAAAAATTTCTAACAACTCTTTCATTAAAATAAATCCTTAAGAGTGTGTTTGGATGGAGAATTTAAATAAGATAATTCATTTGTTTAAAGAATTTTAAATTTTTTTTTTGTGAAAAACTTTGTCTGGATGAAGAATTTACAAAGAATTTGAAATCCAAACATTTGTGAAATTTCTTGAAATAGTAAAATTTTAAATTCTCCCAAAAAAGTAAGAATTTGAAATTTCTCATTTTTTTTTTCTTATTTCACTTATATATTTCATCTTATCTCTTCATGTTTTCAATCATTGAGTATTAAAAAACATTTTTAAAATTATTGAATATTATCTGTTCTTACCGGAAATCTGCTGTAGAGCTGATCCGCCGGGTAAGATTGATGAGTCTCCTTCGCTGGGTGTATTGGTGCTCCGAGATGGGGGAGGTACCTGCAAAAGAGACTCCGATGCTAAAGTTAGGGTTTGTATGAGTATGAGTCTCGTATATATGTAATGCACATACCTTTGTGTGAGTTAGGGTTGTCTTGGGCCTGAGATAAGATATGATATGATACGATATCCTATAATATGATATGATCACGTTGTGACATAATATGGCATAATTGGAGAACGGTTTTGGCCTGGGACGAGATCTCCGGGCTTGGGCGTGGTCTGTCCGGATTCCGGGCTGACGTTGTTCAACGCGTGTCCGGGATGACCCTTAAATGTCAACCCGGGCTGAGAGTCGGGGTGCGAAATGCGGTCAGTACACTAGCCCCCCGAGCTCCGAAGGCCGTAGGCCGAGGAGTTAAGGTCGGGCTCGTAAGAGAAGAGGTGGCTTTGCGCGTACGCTAGCTGGAGGCTCGCCACATGTCGCGACTGTTTATGCTATGGAGACGTTTGATTGACGTATTGGGGGCAGTGACGGTTTTTTTGCGTAACCATTCCCTCCGAGCCTCACCCACCACAACCGGAGTTATGCTTTAGCTGTTCATAAAACTCTCTCCAGAAAAATTATTGTTGTATCCGCTGCTGTGTATCTTCTTTCATTATTCTTTTGCCAAGGTGATGGTTTTCTCTCTGTTTTTTTATTTAATTTTATTTCTTTTCCATAGTTTTTCCTCTTAGTGATTGGTCCTGGGGATTTAGATTTGTTTAGGTTAGTGTTTGGGTCTTCCGACGTGTTTTTTACCCTGTGGTGTTTGGTGTCGTTGCATATCTATCTGGATATTAGAAGCATGCTTCATACTCTTTTTAACGGTGAACGAAAGGAAAAAATATTACCTTTTCAGCTTTCTCGTTTGTGGGTTTTGTTCAATTGTTCGTTGCCCTCGATTGCTTGAATAAGGAAAGAAAATACCAAGTGTTGATGTGGGTTTACAGTGCAGAAAAATAAATGTCCTTTTTTTCCCATCAGAAACGGCGAGATAGATCGTTTGTGGATGAATTCATTGTGCAACCTTGACAACTGCGATTCTCTAATTTTTTTAATATTTTTCTTTTTTTGTGTTTTGGGCTTTTGGTTTTAAACTGCTGGATTGATGTTTCAGGAGTCAAGGAATTTAAAGAGAACATTATGGAGGAATCAAATGCAGCAAGGTATTGGTGTCATATGTGCTCTCAAATGGTCAATCCTATCATGGATGTGGAAATCAAATGCCCCTTTTGCCAAAGTGGATTTGTTGAAGAAATGAGAAACGCCACCAGTCGCAGCGACATTCACAATATGCCAGAAGCTGATTTTGAATCTGATCGGGCTCTCTCCCTTTGGGCACCCATCTTGCTAGGCATGATGGGCAATCCACGTCATCCTCAAAGACTGAGGCAAATAGAGAATGATGATTTTGATAATGGTAATCGCGATGATGTTGATGGTGTAGCAGACCATGGTGGAGAAACTGCTTATGATCAAGAGCTTGAGTCCATCCTTCGCAGAAGGAGAAACTCAGCTACCATTCTACAATTGCTCCAAGGTATAAGAGCTGGACTGGCATCTGAATCATATGAGAATTCGGACAGCGATAACCATAACAGAGAAAGAGAGCGTGTAATCTTGATCAATCCTTTAAATCAGACTATTATTGTCCGAGGTTCCTATGAGTCAAACCGGGCTCAAAGTGATAATCATAGCCCCGTTGGGTAGCTGTTCATAAAACTCTCTCCAGAAAAATTATTGTTGTATCCGCTGCTGTGTATCTTCTTTCATTATTCTTTTGCCAAGGTGATGGTTTTCTCTCTGTTTTTTTATTTAATTTTATTTCTTTTCCATAGTTTTTCCTCTTAGTGATTGGTCCTGGGGATTTAGATTTGTTTAGGTTAGTGTTTGGGTCTTCCGACGTGTTTTTTACCCTGTGGTGTTTGGTGTCGTTGCATATCTATCTGGATATTAGAAGCATGCTTCATACTCTTTTTAACGGTGAACGAAAGGAAAAAATATTACCTTTTCAGCTTTCTCGTTTGTGGGTTTTGTTCAATTGTTCGTTGCCCTCGATTGCTTGAATAAGGAAAGAAAATACCAAGTGTTGATGTGGGTTTACAGTGCAGAAAAATAAATGTCCTTTTTTTCCCATCAGAAACGGCGAGATAGATCGTTTGTGGATGAATTCATTAATGGATTATTTTCTTCTTCGAACTCTTCATCCTCTTACAGTTCCAATGCAAACGGAAATGATAATTCTGGGCTTGAGCTGCAGGCGGGGAAAACCGCTGAGCCTGAGGTGCAGTCGGGAAAAGCCGCCGAGCCTGAGGTGCAGGCTTCCGGGCTGGCCTCCCAGGCTGCTGGGGTGAGTCTGGTTTTTTGTTTTGTTTTTGTTTTTGTGGCTTTCTCGCATGTCTCCTTATCTATTTGTGATGCGAGACTGGTGTTTGCAGGTGGGCTCATCGCAGGGGCCTTTCTGGACCCAATATCTGTCCCATCGCTTTGGGAAGGGGATAGATACGGTGCGGCTGAATCACATGAGCGCTTCCTACGGTATGGATTCATTATGGAGCGCGGGGGTGTCCGCGGAGAGGTTCTTTCCTCAGGGTTCGTTGAGCTCCGATGACCAGGGATTGATTGACAGGGTCGGTCTCGAGGACAGTTTTGATGCTGCCCAGGTCATGCTACAGAGGGTGATAGGCATAATGAGTCACTGGAAACCCAAGTGGGGCCAGCAGCGGGAAGACCTGGCCAAGCAGCAGCAGGAGCTGGCTAAGCGGGAGCAGGAGCTGGCCAAGCAAGAGCAGGAGCTGGCTAAGGTGAAGGGTCGGCTCCAGCCGTGGAAGGAGGCGAACAAGATCCTGAGGGAGGATAACAAGGCTCTCACCGCGGCTCTTGATGAGGCGAAGCGGCGGGAGGCTGAGCTCCAGACCGCGCGTAGCGACCTTGCGCGGGTGCAGAAATCTCTTGAGATTGCATTGCGGTCCAATGAGGCTTATGCTTCTCGGGTGGGGGAGCTGCAGGAACTCGCCACCTTCTCCCGGGCGCTGGCCCGCTCTTTGGAGGACGAGGTGACGTCCTCCCGTGACCAGGTGCGGGTCTTAGAGGATGCTGTGGCCTCTCTAAAGGGGGAGTTGGCAGCGGCGGCTGAGGAGC